AAAAAAAAAAAAAAAAAATCCCCGCTGCCGGCTGCACACGGGGACGCGATCCCGGGCAGTTTAATACCTATCACTTAAGTTAAGAGCCTGGTCCTGCCCTCCCACCCTCCGGAGCAGGTCTGTCCGCGCTGCCCCCGAGCAGCCCCGGCTCCGGCCGCTGCTCCTGGGGAAATGACTTGGAGGCGCTTTGCCTCGGACCTGCAAGCCGGGTCCGCTCCTTGGGTTTGTTCGCTTGTTTGTTTGTTTGCTGCTTTGCTTTATTTAGCTAAAGGACGTGCTAACTGATGGTGCTGCAATTACACATACTTGGGTCTGCCCCCCTCCCCTCTTCCCCTCCTTAGAGCAACCCACGTAACCTTAGAAACGATCGTTTAAGACGCACGTTAGCTAACATTTGCTTTTTTGGATTTTTTGTTTTCCTTAAAAGAGAAACACAAGAATCACAACACATTGCCCGAAAAAAGTGTCAAAGAAGAAGAAAAAAAACTATAAGTAAACATACCAAAACCATATTTGCCTTGTTCAAGGTCCCAAATCGCTTGCATCTTCCTTTTTCTACCTCTCCTTTAGTTTGGCAGGTGAAACAAACAAATAAAAAAAAAAAAAAAATCAGACCGCTGTTTGCCCCCCAGAAAGATGTGCGTTGGGTAATTAAAGAGAAGTCTCCTTCTTGGTGTTTATCTAAGCGATTGTGCAAACTGATTAAAAAAAAAAAAAAAAAAAAGAGAGAGAGCGAAAAAAAAAAAAAAAGTAAAGTTACAGCCTTCAGGGGGGGAAAAAAAGGAAGCAAGGTGAAGGGAATAGATTTCCCACAACCTAAAGGGAAGTGCTTTCGATGTATTATTAGCGATCAGCCCTGGGAGAGAGAGGAAAAAAAAAACACACCCTGAACACACTCTAACTTTACACAGACAAGATTTCAGGGGGGGCTTTGTACACAGCTGCTTAGGAATGTGCGCCTTGCCTTTAAGAAAAAATCCCCAAGCCCAAGGTAGGAGATGTCTTTGAGTGATCCTTGTCTCATTTCATTCCTTAGAAGGAAGAGCGTCTCGCTACACCTTGTTTGGAGCTGGAAAGGCGAGACTTAAAAAAAAAAAAAAAAATAGAAAGAAAAAGAAAAAAAAAAAGGGGAAAAAAAAAGGAAAAATATTCACAACCCACCCTTCCAATTGGGGAGAAAAAAAAAAAAATAAGAGAGGGAAATCTCCTAAGTTAATGACTGTGGGGGTAGGATGGATGCGACTGATTTCAGCCCCCCCTCCCCCCTTTC